CTACTACTCCTACTACTACTACTACTACTACTACTACTGCTACTACTACTGCTACCACTGCTACTACTACTACTACTACTACTACTACTACTACTACGACTACAACTACAACAACTACTACTACTACTACTACTACTACGAATAATCATAGGAATCGCAGTGCTAATAAGTAAAAGAGTACTATTAAAAACAATCACAAGAACAATAATCATACTAACGCTAATAATAAGGTGGGGGTCTAACTTCCCCTCCTCCCCCTCCTGGGGCAATCCACACCTCCTCTTGGGGCCCTCTTGGGGCGCTCTTGGGTCGCTCTCGGCCGCTCCTGGGATTGTCTGGGGGGCCTCTGGGGCCCCTTTTGGGGCTCCCTTGGGCGATCTTGGGGCAATCGTGAGGCTCTCAAAGCACAGCGGACACGAAACGGCGAGGCGGCAACATATACTTGTTGCGGGCTTTTGAAGGGTTTGGGGTTCTTGGGGGCTCATGAAGGGGGCTCCGGGAGCACTTGGAACCATCTTGTGGCCCTCGTTCGGCCTCTTGGAGGTATGTCGGAAGCTATCTTGAACTACCTTCGGCTATTTTGAGCCGCCTTGAAGGCCGCCTTGGAGCATCGGGGGCCCTCTTGTGGCCATCTTGGGCCAACTTGGACGCTCTAACCCTTCGAGGTCCGCCCCAAAAAACCTCAGGGAGGGAGGGGGAGGGTAACAACAAGGCTGCAGAAGTCAGCGGAGATGGCGGAAGTAGAAAGTGCGCCCCCATGAGATGGTATTTCTGTGGATTTAAAGATTTTCGGAACTCTCCAAATAAGCGAGGATTCGCAGTGAAACTTTCCAACTGGAACCGTACATGGAGCTCCCGACCGCAGGGACACGAGACGTGTATGCGGTGTGCCAGACGTGCATTCAGAAGCGCATGCAAACTCGAAGATATTTCCTACTGGGGCTGTAGGTGGGGCCCGCGTGAGGTGTGTCGAAACGGGCGAAGTACGCATGCAAAGTTTGCCATGGAGGCCGTAGGTGGAACTCCTTCTGGGGGCGCGATCCTCGTCAGAGGTTTCCAACATTTGATGGCACCGCCATGTGGATCCTCCAACTGTGGCCGTAGGTGGAGCTCCTTATGAGCCTCTTCCTCTTCTCCCTGTCCGCCCTCCTTCTCCTCCCCCGCCTCCCTTTTCTCCTCCTCCTCCTCCTCCTCCTCTTTCTCCTCACCCCTCACCCCCCGTCCCCCCGAAACGTTCCCCTCCTCCGCTCCCCCTTCCTCCCTCTCCTTGTTCCCGTACCCTCCTTCTCTCCTCCTTCCCCCTCCGCCTTCTTCCCTCCTCCTTCCCCCTTCTTCCCCCTCCCTTCCCGTCCTCCCCCCCCGCCCCTGCAGGAGATAAGGTCGGTTGCCCTCCCTCCTTCCCCCTCCGTCCCCCTCCTTCCCCACTTTTCGTTCCCCTCTTTTTTTCATCCTTCCCTCCTTCTCCTCCCCTCCTTTTTCCCTCCTTCCCCTCCTCCTCGTCCTCCTCCTTCCCTCCTTCGTTCCTCTCCTTCCCCTCCTTCGTTCCACCCCCCTTTGCAGGAGCCGAAGTCTGTCTCGCTCGACGAGATCGACACAGTGGCGCTGGAGGATCGGGGTCTGCGCATCGTGCTCCGGGGCGGGCAGGCGCGCGTGGCGGCTCTCCGCAGAGGGGACGCTCTCGCGTGGGGGGTGGGGGGAGGGGGGGATGGTGATGATTATGCTGCTGCTGATGATGCTGCTGGTGATGCTGATTATGCTGATGATGCTGATGATGCTGAAGATGATGCTGTTGCTGGTGCTGGTGCTGGTGCTGATGATGATGCTGATGCTGATGGTGATGATGACGATGCTGCTGATGGTGATGCTGATGATGGTGATGATGATGCTGATTCGTATTCTGATGATTGTGGTGCTGATGATGGTGCTGATGATGGTGCTGCTGATGACGCTGATGATGCATATGATGATCATGATAATGCTGCTGCTGCTGTTGCTGCTGCTGCTGCTGATGATGATGATGAACATGCATATTCTGGTGTTGGTGAGCTACGGCTCGTGAGCAGCGCTGTGTACGGCCACCCGTCCGCGGAGTCCATTGCTGTATTTTTTTTTTTTTTTTCCAGCAGCTCGTTTGATCATGGATGTGGCAGAGTGAAGCGAGAGCCACTGGGCAGTCATGATGATGGTGATGGCTGCAATGATGTCGATGGTGATGGTGATGGTGATGACGATGACGACGATGACTACGACGAGGACGACGACGACGAGAACGACGAGGACGACCATGACGACGAGGACGACCATGACAACGAGGACGAGGACGACGGTGACGACGTGGACGAGGAGGACGACGACGACGAGGACGACGACGACGGGGACGACGACGACAACGACGACGAGGACGACGACAATGCCGATGATGATGACGATGTGGATGATGATGATGATGATGATGATGATGATGATGATGATGATGATGGTGGTGATGATGATGGTGATG